TGGAGTCTCCAGCATGAGATAGATGCTCTAAGAAAATGGAGCATGTGCAACCACAGACACCAGTTGAATACAAAAATATGAAATTCATTACACCAGAGCGTGAGTTCGCATATACCATGGAACACGTCATGCCCATGCATTACTGTACCACTGATAGGCGAAGATCTCAGAACCCGATTCATCGAATCAATCTCCTATCTCCCGTAAAACTGCTCCGACGAAACTTTTGCGCGCGCCATAAGCACGCATCAACATGTGGATTCGAACATTTCAAGACCAATCTCTGGTCACAGGATTTCAGTTTCAACCATACTTGAGAGGACACCCATTAGCGTAGAGATCTATGTGTACACGGATAATCAGCCGATTTCCACGGGCCATTTAAATTTAGCTTTTTCATTTGCAGCCCTATTCAATAGGCAGGTCGCACCTGCGCGATTGCGTGAAAGGTTTGGGCGCGCTCTCTCAGGGGCCCCCACCCCTGGCGCGCGCTGATGCCATCATGGCATATGTTGAAGCTTTGGGCAAAGCAGGTGCCCAACACCCAGGTCACGTGAGGAGTCCACATCACATACCTCCCCGCCTAGCTTGGACTACGGTCTCCAACTAGGGAAAACGCCAAAAATCTAGCTATGAAAGAAAGCGTGCAAGTCCAGTATAGAAAGTAGAACTACCGAATAACGAATTGGGCACCTTGATCATCAAACAGCAACTTCGATAATTGTAAATAGTCCTACTAACTACAAAGATGACTTCACGGGAAAATCAGATTAAAAACTCTAGACGAGAGGAAAGAAGGTCCTAAGAAAGTCCTTAGTACCAAGAGTCCTCAAGTCTTCTCTTCCTCGATTCTGAGGTAGGAGATGCTTCAGCAGGACGTGATGATGAAGTCCTAGGGTGGTCTTGGGAGTATGCTTGACTTAGCTCCTTAAGAGTATCAAAGACCCCATCGACAGTGACGGGAGCTTCACGTAACTTCTTGTACAGACCGGGGTCCTCGTCAGCCCAGTAAGTCCCAGCACCACGATGAGCACGGTCCACAGCTCCCGGAGCAGCCGGAAGATACTTAGAAGGGGAACCCCTTAATCCAGCAGACGCAGTAGAGTCCTGTTGAAGAGCCTTAGTGACAGCAACGGTCTTGTTGTGACCCAGAAGATGACCATACCTAGCCTCATTCACAGTAAGTCCACTACGACGGCCCTTACCGTCCCGTACACGGGAGGTGAAGCTCTTGTCCGACCTGCCAACGAAGAGCAGGGTACCTTCACGAATAGGACAGTCCGCAGCTTGTCTCATGAGCTTGAAAAGTCCTTCTTCGCAATGGCGTCGACAACAGAAGACAAGATGAGCATTAGTAGAAGGGTAGCCCTTTGGGTCCATGTCCTTAACCAAGTTAATAGCCATGGCAGGTAGAGTGTCAGCTTCCATACACCAACGGAGAAGTCCACCCGCTGTAGGTAACCAGTCCCGATAAGGACGGTCCTTAGTCGGTCCAGCGAGAAGTCCACTCACGAAGAGGACACGACACCTAGTTGTTGAGGCAACAAAGGACGTTCCTTATCAGTGTCCTTGTCAAGGAAACGATGACGATGAAGCCAACGGTTCCTTCTAGCAAGAGGGGTAGGTGGATGATCAAAGCCCATTGCACGAACCAAATCTTCCACATGACGACCAATACCAGTGGGTTCATCCCAGTTAATCAAGTCCTCCATGGTGGGAAATTCCCACTGGGAATCATGAGGTTTGGCGGTTGAGGAGCCCTATTAGAAGTCCTGCTGGAGTCATAGTTCCACGTAACAAGGAAGCTTAGAACAACCACCAGTACGAATAAAAGTCTTAGTACGACAAGCCCTTAGTTATCTCAGACGAAGCCACCATCAGAAGCATCGAGCAAGTCCAAGCCAATCGAATCGTCTTGGCTGAAACCGCCCACACGCCGCACACGCCCAATAACTGCACGCATGCGTTGCCTCTGGCGTCACGAAGGAGATAGGCTAGCGCACAATTAGTTGCTCGTTGTGAACATCGAACACAATAATAACGTAAGTCTACCGAATAGCTGGTAGGACCATACACCGTCGTAACCAAGCTAAGCCATAGCACTTATAGAGCATCCCAATGAACCAGAGCAAGGGTGGAGCTCTCCAATTTGGCCGAATTGTATAGCCCCAGTCTCCTCGTCCGGAGACATTGTGACCTCAGGGTTCATAAACCCTCAGCGCGCGCCCGATCAGTCATACCGAGAGCCTTGCGCAGGATCATAGCCTCGGACAAGTCCTCGACCACGATCCACCTTCGTGTCATGCCATCTCGTAGTTCTCGTAAGAGCAACCCTTTCTGACAGCAGACCAACGAAGTCAACTCACCAAGATAGTCGAAGTATAACTACAGTAGAGTTACTTCAGCCATCATTCTAGTGACAGGGAACTCCTTGAACTCAAAAGTCCAAGCCATCGTTCCAGAGTGGCATCATTGCTCAAAGCGGAATCCCAACACGGAATACCTCTTTCGAGACATGCCCGTGTGTAGCCGCTCACAAGGAGGCTACAACACAAGTATGCAAGCATGACTGTATAACATCCATACAGTCAAATAAATCAAGCAACCCTGGGGCCTTGCCCCAAGAAACAGCACATCCAAGCCCAGCTATCTTCTGCCAGAGGCAGAAGGGGCTCGCACGTCAGCTTCCACCTTGGCCAAACCGAGCTTCTCGAAGATAGAACCGGGGGTAGTCATAGTACTTGTGGTAGGTGTTCAAGACCTTTCTGACTAGTTCTTAGCAACAAGGAGCTGCTACCAGAATGTGAGGATATCCAGTGGGTTAGATATACTCGGGGGTTGGAGTCACTTAAGAACTCAAGTCAGGAAGGGGTAGTGTAGGGTTAGCTACGGTGGAAGGTAGAAGGAACTCAGTAGAAGTACACAAGACTTGATAGTCCGTAGTACAAAGACTCGAAAGTTCTTCCTGGAATTCCACAATGAGCAAAGAGTTAGCTACAGATTAAAGGCGAGCGAGATCTACTCTGTTCCTTACGGGAACAAGAAGATAGACAGTCCCGGAGGTCACGCGAGACAAA